AATAAATAAATATATAAATAAATAAAAAAATAAAAAAAAAATAAATAAATATAAAGTTTATTGTTGGCAGGGGATATAAGATAAAGGAAAAGAGAAGAAAAGGAGACAGAAACAAACAAAAAGAGACAAAAAAATATAAAAGGAGACAGATATAAACACACATTTCTTTCGTGCTATACACCTTTCTCTCCTCTCTCTGCAGCAGCAGCAGCAGCAGCAGCAGCAACAGCAGCAACAACAGCAGCAACAGCACCAGCATCCTCATCAGCAGCAGCAACAGCAGCAACAGCATCCTCACCAGCTGCAGCAACAGCAGCAGCAGCATCCTCATCAGCTGCAGCAACAGCAACAGCAACAGCAGCAGCAGCAGCAACAGCAACAGCAGCAGCAGCAGCAGCAGCAACAGCAGCAGCAGCAGCAGCAGGATGGCGACAGCGAGCAGCATAGCGTCTGCATTTGCAGAGGCAGCAAAAGGTAAGGATACAATAGCAGCAGCAAGTGTTGCTGCAGCAGCAAGAGCAGCAGGAGCAGCACCATCAATGGGTGAGATAGATGTGTTTATAAAAAAGCAAAATGGTGGGGTTGTTGATTATAAGAGTTTTGAGGGTTTTTGTTTATCTACTTCTGCTGCTAGAGACAAAGAAGATGAACTACTGTCTCTTTTTGCTTCTATAGATATACAAAACACACAAAAAATAAATAAAAAAAACCTTATTCTTTATCTCTCTTCTTTTGGTGAACCCATAAAACAAGAAGAAGCACAAAATATATTAAACGATCTCTTTCCTAATCAAGAAGAAATACACTACCCTACACTTATACGCAAACTCCTTATGTAAATATAAATAAATAAATATATATTTATTTATTTATTTATTTATTTATATTTGTCTTTATCTGTTTATTTAGTTGTTTATCTCTGTCTTTGTTTATTTATTTAGCTGTTTATATTTATTTATTTGTATCTTTATCTGTTTCCTAATCAAGAAGAAATACACTACCCTACACTCATACGCAAACTCCTTATGTAGAGACAAATATAAATAAATATATTTATTTATTTATTTATTTATATTTGTCTTTATTTATTTATTTATGTATTTATTTATTTATATTTGTCTTTATTTACTTATCTAGTTGTTTATATTTATTTATATCTCTGTTTGTTTCTTAATCAAGAAGAAATACACTATCCTACACTTATACGCAAACTCCTTATGTAAATATAAATATAAATATAAATAAATAAATAAATAAATATATTTATTTATTTATTTATTTATGTTTGTCTTTATTTAGTGTTCTCTGTCTCCTATGCATGCACTGCTACCCCGCGGGGCTGACAAGGCGACACCTTCAACACAAACTATGCATGCATGCATGCATGCATGCGTTCTCTGCATGCATGCGTTCTCTGCATGCATGCATGCATGCTGAAGAGTGCGTTGTCTTAATGCATGCATGCATGCATGCAAGCATGCATGCATGCGTGCCTGTCTCCCTGCATGCATGCATGCATGCATGCATGCTTTGTAAAGAGTTGGTTTAGCTAGAGAACCACAGAACAAAGAAATTTTGTTGTCCCTGCTGCTGCTGCTGCTGCTGCTGCTGCTGTTTTTGCTGCTGCATGCAGCAGCATGCAGATAAACAACAATATATATATATATATATATATATATATATATATATATGTAT